GTAGAAAGCTCACGCAAACTTCCAAACTTAATTCTCTTTAAATCTGACGCCACATCCTCCTCATGCAAGTGGAGTTTCAATTTGTTCATATTGTGTAGATTTCCATTAGAGGTTGGATATTTAGGCAGAGATAAATTGTCGAGATCGTGGTAAATTATATTTAAAATCGTTCTAACCGATGTGAACCATTAAATGTATACCTTCTATCACTATTTCTATTTAGAAAAGGTGATCCAACTTTCGAATTTTGAAATTATTTTTATTCTGTTGTGCATTGATAAGTGTAATTTTTACATTTACTAAGGCTATTAAAAGTGGCAATTTGGGAATACTTTTAGAATATTATTGTTAAATTTTGTATAAATATTATTTTTTTAGGTGGAACTCGATGTTAGATGGTAGTTGGGGAAAAGGAATCAAATCCAAGCGAAAAGAATGTGATTCGTGCATAATTTAGAAGGGGACCAAAAAGATAAAGGGCTAAACTTGCAATTAGAAGGACTTGAACATAAGATAAAGATGAAATCGAGGATCAAAATATCCATACTTTTGTTGTTTTTGTATAATTATCATGCTAGGCTAAATCCTTAAGTGTTGGGATGATGATGTAAATCTTAATTAACTGTTTTAATTCAAAGTCTTCATCTTTTAAGTATGGATTGTGATTGATTGGTATCACACTTTTATATTGATTAGTTGGATGTTCGATCATCATTAGATAATAAGTGATTCATTTTATTTCTAGGAGCTTGGAGGTAGGTTTAGCATATTGTAATAATCAATATAGGATCTTATAATAGATGGGGGATAATTGAAGCCAAGGTACCAAACCTTTCTTTTAGGAACGGACTTGACCTAAATCTTTCATTTGTACGATCCAAAGTACCAAACCTTTAAAAAATTCGCAGATGAAGTCCAAAATGACAATTTTCATTAGTTTGACCCCAGAAACCGTCGATTGACCCGAAAGTGAAATTTTTTTATAATTTTGACCAAAAAAGGCAGGAGTATTTCGAGTAAAACACATTTCTCTTAAATCAAAAACAAAAAACTACAACCACTCACCCCCATTTCCTTCTTTCCCAACCCCCCTCACCCCAAAACCAAAACCACCCCTACCCAGCCGCCGGCCATCACCACCACCACCGCCACTGCNAAAATATTTTCCTATTTCCCTGGAAAACTCCGCCAATCAAACAGAGCCTTATATTGATTAGTTGGATGTTCGATCATCATTAGATAATAAGTGATTCATTTTATTTCTAGGAGCTTGGACGTAGGTTTAGCATATTGTAATAATCAATATAGGATCTTATAATAGATGGGGGATAATTGAAGCCAAGGTACCGAACCTTTCTTTTAGGAACGGACTTGACCTAAATCTTTCATTTGTACGATCCAAAGTACCAAACCTTTAAAAAATTCGTCCAAAATGATGATTTTCATTAGTTTGACCCCAAAGTGAAATTTTTTATAATTTTGACCAAAAAAGGTAGGAGCATTTCGAATAAAACACATTTCTCTTAATCAAAAACAAAAAACTGCAACCACTCACCCCCATTTCCTTCTTCCCCAACCCCCCTCGCCCCAAAACCAAAACCACCCTGACCCAGCCGCCGACCATCACCACCACCACCGCCACTGCCTCAATGCCAGTCCCACCTCTACCCATTGTTGCTAGTCGAGTAGAAAACTATTCAAAGGGTGAATATTGCAGTCACATTCCGAAATTACATTACAAATTAGTGTTGAATTTTGAATTGAGATTATCAAATTGATCATTATTGAAGCTCCCAATTTGGGGTACCACTGTTGAGACATATTTAGACCACGGTTTCTCCAATGACATTCATTGAGATTCATTACTCATTAGGGAATTAGTGTTGAAGGCGTTTTCAGTTGCAAACCAAAATTTCGCACTTATACGCACCGATGATTTTTCTTGGCAATTGAGAGGACGTCTTGACTCTGTTTTAAATTTTTGATTTACTACTTGTTTGGGTGGTAGCCTTAGTCAAATAATCTGGTGAAGATATTGGATAATAGAAAAGACGTGGTTGAAAAGGATTTTGTGGACTTTTCGTTACATCCATTTTTCAATTTAAAGCTATTTGGAAAGTGTATCATATGAGATGTACTCCAATATATTCAATAATTCAAACTCACTCTCTTATCCCTAATATTTTATAGTTTTTTCATTTTCTCGTTTCAAACTCCATTTTCAAATCTACAAGCTCCAAAGCTATGAGCTACCAAAATTTTTTTGTTTCTAATATTTCCATAAAAATAGAAAACAAATATTATTGTTCTTGTGCCGACGTTGAGACAGTGGTGCCGACGGTAGCGATGGCGACCGACAGTTGAGTAGGGGTGGTTTTGGTTTTAGGTTGAGTGGGTTGGGGAAGAACGAGATGGGGCAGGTGCTTGTGGTTTTTTCCATTTTTTTAAAAAAAGATTTGATGAAGGAAATGTGTTCTACCCAAAATGTCCTTGCCTTATGGTAAAAATTATAAAATTTTCGTTTTTGGGGTCAACTGATGGTTTTTGGGGTGAAACTAACGGAAGCCGTCATTTTGGACTTCATCTGCGAATTTTTTAAAGGTTTTGTATTTTTTATGGCACAAATGAAAGATTTGGATCAAATCTGCTCCTAAATGAAATATTTGTTACCTTGACTACAATTCTCCCTAATAGATGATAGAAATAATTACGTATGCCCTATGCAATCAAAATAGGTAATCTCGTGAATGAATGAGTTTCTTCGTATTCAAATTCCGGATATGGATATTTTGGGTTGTATTTAGAAATATGTTTAATTTTCTCGGGAGAGGTTATAATTAAACAAGATACGATTAATGATTGTCGGTCTATACATAAATTATATTAAAAGAGTTGAGAATTAAAATGGGAATTAGTGATGGAGTCGGATTCCTAGCACGCTTCTCTCATACATAATTTTCTAAAATCATCTATATGTGTAAGTATAATCACTGGTATTTAACATAAAATAATCTATTCATCAATTACTTTTTTACATTCATATTTGATCACGAATTATATTAAAATATTTCTCGTGGGAAAGTACTTTTAACTTACAGGTCAACGATCTCATACGCTTGTAAGATTTCATCGAACAAGGTTTTAGCACCATTGCCACAAAATTGTAGTATTAGTTTGAATTTATTAATTCGTAGTTAGATTCGAAATTTCATTTTTGCTTTTGATTTATCATCACATTCACTCTTTCTTATGTTCTTTAATCTTTTTAGGTGTTGGCATAGTGATACATAATAAATTTGGAAAATCTTGAGCTCTTACCGTCAGATCCTGAGATCGAGAGAACTTTCAAATGGTAAAGAAAGGAAAAAAGAGAAGCAAGAGAGAGAACATGAAGGGCAATTAATCAAATTCTAGCTGTTCAACCCGTGGTGGAAGTGGTACATGAAGAAGATACGTTAGTTGAGAATATCTTGATCCCACCCACAGTACACAATCAGTCCACCATCACATATCCTCCATACAGGCAAGAAAATTTCCAACTCCTACTAGATGTGATCAATCTCTTTCATAATCACAATCAAATGCCATTTTCTAACAAGTCTAATGAGAATTCACGAGTATGTATCGCAGTTTCTGGAGTAGAGCAAGATTTTATTT